AGGTGTGTTTGTGCAAGTCTCTGCCACCCCGGTGCTAGAGGCTGCAGACAGGTTCTCTCAGGAGTGCACTGTTTCCCTAGGGTGCCTTGAGACGGGAAAAAAGGCCCAATCGAAACAGTGGCCTCCAAGGGGCTGCGGGTGAGTTAGAGTTGAGGTGCGAGGTCAGCTCAGAGGGTTATGGGGCTGGCTTTGGGGCCCAGAGGGAGCATCTTTGACCGGTTTTCTTGAAGGACTCAGAGTCATCATGGTGCTCACTGGGAAGGAGCGTTAAGGACACTGTGGGTGAGGAACCGGCCAGGAAAGCTGCCCGTCCGGCACAGACTGCTGGGAGCACCCCCCTGCCCACCCTACGGCCGCCATCTTTCCCCTTTAGACTTCCTTTTGTTCCCTGAAGGCAAGGACCCTTTCACAGGAACATGACGCACCTCCCCAGCAGCTGTGCTGATGGGGCGCCCCCGGGAGCGCACAGACGTCCTCGGGCAGGGCAGGGGCGCTGGATGGAGGGCACGCTGACTACCCCCAGCTTCGCACGTTGCTGGAATTGTCTAACCCACGTTTCTGAGTGTGTGCTACACTCTCCCCACACCGCGCATGCTCGCAGTCTAGAGCCATGACACATTAGCCATCTCTGTGGGAAAGAAAGACACATTGCCTCACCTGCCTCATGTCTGAGAAACCATGGTTCTCCCAAGGGAGACCTGACCCTGGGTTCCCCCAGAGCTTCCCCTTCCTGTTCCACGCTGCTCCTGGGGACAGGGACAAGGCTTGTCCCCTGTCTTGGTCTAGGTGAGCAACTGCTAAGGCCATGTTGCTGATGCCTCTGCCCAGGCCCCTCTCCCAGGAAGTTGGCTCCCACATGCGTGGGATGGCACCTTGGAGTCAGCTCTACCGCTGGCGTGTCATTCTGGGTAAGTGGCACTTGAATCTCACCTGAAGAGTCAGGAGGCACAGCCACATTTCCACTGAGAAAGTGGTCAAGGCCCAGAAACTGCTTCTTTGCCACAAAAGGAAAAATTTCACCACAGGAGCTGCCGCTTTGCTTCAGAACAGGGGATTGAACTCAACGACTGGGAGACAGGAAGACTTCAGAGGGGAGAAGCCCACCCCAGCCCACTTCCGCCCAGTGGGACACAGGAGTGCAGGGCAGTATGAGTCCATAGGGACTGAGTGTAGGCCTCTTGTTTCCTGGTCACAGCCCAAGACTGATGAACAAACAAAGGGAGCTCAGTCCCAACCCACAAGTCGCCCCAGGGAGACAGTTGAGGCTATCTGGTCCCATAAACCCTATTCAACAGGCTCAGTGGTCGTGATGTTTCCATGTGGGAAAAGAACAAAAATAACCTGTTCTCCCTTTATGATGGTCTCCGTTCTAAAATGTAGAGATTTTCAGAGCCAACGATGCATCTTCACACCAGAAAACACATCTGAGAGCCAACCCCAGCAAGGAAAACTGGCTTGAAGTCTTCTGGAAATTCTTCAAGGAAACGCCTGAGCGTCGGCATCAATGACGCGAACTCATTCTGAAATCTTGGGTATCTGGATAACCTCTTGAGTATGAGAAACACTTCCCGTCATCTATTTTGGCCTTCAAGCTTTTTATTATGGTTTAAAAATATAACTTCACAAACAAAGGCATCTGCAAAGAAAAAGGCACCGAGGGGAGATCAGATGGCCACGCAGCCTCTGC